GTCGTTTCGTTTTGGAGGTCGTTCCGCCCCCCCCCCCCCCCCCCGCCCATCGGCACGCCTTTACAATTTCGACGCTCTGTGTGTAAGCCACAGGGCGCGTCTCAGGCCCAGGTGAACTTCAAGTCTGTCCGAGGGTCCTCGTCATCTTCGGTCTCCGGGATGTGAGTAGTTGTCCTCCTCAGTTGCAACAGCAGTTCGGTACCCAAGGCTCCGCTGTGCACAGCAGCAGTACATCTAGAGGTGTAGACAGGTTGGGCAGGACAGCAGCGGTAGACAGGGTGGGCGGTACTTTTTCGGAGGAGGAGCAGCAACGAGCGAGTACCGTCGCCGCCGTCGCCGTGGCTTGCTCGGTTGCTGAGAGTCAGCGACGCAGGCGTTGCGCAGAGGAGGCGGAGGCGGTAGCGAGGGCGGCAGAGTCGATCCATGATGATTCATTCCGCCGGGAGAACGCCGTTTCCACCTTCTGCTAATAATACCGTATTTGCAAGGGAAAGAAAGGCGCGTGGTAAATAGTTAGTTAGTAGTAAGAGGGGGTCGGCAAACCTGATACTGCTGTACCTATCCCCGAGCTCGAATGTTGCTCACGACTGGTCATCGTCTTCGTCATCGTTTTCGTCACCACCCGTCCCCCGCACCCCGCCCTGGCCTCGAACTTGTCTTGCAGAGTGCGCGCTTTCTCCCTCAAATTCTCTCCGTTCGGGCCCCCTCCTGGCTCGTACGCACATACCTCCCGGCTCCGGCTCGTACGCACATACAATACGAGACCGTTTAAACCCGTTTTTTTTCTTCTTTTTTCCCCAGGAAACGATCGAACGGGAGCACCGGCAGCATCACGGGGCTGGCCAACCAAGAACCCTCAGCGTCGTCGTCGACCGCCACGGTCAACCCCCCCCCCGCTACCACCACCACCACCACCACAAAAGCAGCACCAGGACCAGCCGCATCCGGCAACGGCAACAAGAGCAACAACGACGATGCGTCTTTCACTCCGGTGGCCGCGACACCGGCTGGAGGGGAGAAGAAAGTTGAGGCGGGGGGGCGGGGGGCGGGGGAAGACGCAGCGGCAGTCGGTGGTGACCCCCTCTGGCTGCCCCCGGGCAGGGTGCAGAACTGCTCCATGGGCGGTGACCCCTTCATCTTGGCCACCCTCAGGCCGCCGCAGAGGGTGGTCGATAGCCTTCCCGACGTCCTCAAGGGCTTTGCCATCAAGGTACTGAGGAATTTTTTCTCTTTTGGTTCTCGGGGGTATGGGGTGTTCTCAGCTTGCTTTTTTTTTTTTTTATGTTTATTCTTTGGATTTGCGTTGCGGGGGGGAAACTTGTGAAGCTCGGGGACTCAATTCTGCAAGCTTTTGTGGCTGGTCGACATGGCTATTTGTAGCTTTTCTCGCTCTGACGAGCAGAGACAGGGATATCACATCACGTCGACTCAACGGCATGTTGCTTTTTTCAGAGCTAGCTGGAGCTAGCTCCCTTGACACCGCAGCTTGCGGGGTGTAAACAACACCCCAAGCGTTGTCGGAAATTATCGACTTTTGTGTGTGTGTTTTTTTTATTGTTCAATGAACCCTTTCCCCTTCCCGGATACTTGCGGCTTGCTCCCATCGTAGGCTGCCACTTGCCATTCACGACCTTTGCCGGCACAATAATCAACCTTTGCAACATTTTTTCCTTTTCTCCGGAGCGCACGAAAGCTGCGTGTCCTTACCTGCCTTCTTCAGTCGATGGCGAATCGATCCCAAGTTCTCCGTCATTTGTTGCTCTCGCAACCCAATGAGTGTATCGAGCCCTTGTCTTGCCCTCCTCCCCCCCCCGGTTGAACAGGCGGGAAGTGATATCGATCGATAGGACAGATAGACTAGGGAAGGCATGTTTGAGCCACCTTTGACAAAGTAGGAAGGAACGGTTGGCCATCGGTGATTGGTCCTGTGAGAAGGAACAATGCTCCATCCTCTCGCGGACACGTGGTCAATGGTCTAACCGCTAAGGCGTGCAAAACATAAGAGTACCCCCCCCCCCCC